GCTTCTCTTTGGGTCCCATATATTTATCTTCTTGACAAGGTTCACGTATTAGGACAATACCAACCACAGCTGATCTTGACTCCCGGGTCCTCACCTGGACATCTTTCAAAATCTCCTTCACCAGGGTCTTGTTAACCATGTCCATCAATAATGCATCTCGAAAAACCGCTAGAATGACAGGATAATCAAGCATCCTGGATTTAGATGGAAACTTTGAGGTGACACAGCTTTGAGTATCACTAGGCCCTTCATGGACTTCTAGATATTTCTGTGGAGTCCCAAAGAGAGCAAAAGAGAGTTCTCCCAAAATTCCTCGGTTCCTATCACCATTCTCTGGGCTATATCCTGCCTCCCCCACAAGCAGAATACTTTCCTTCCCTCCCAGATCAGAAATACTTTCATGGAATAGTAAATCCAGACTTGGTTCACCAGTGGGTCCAGGCTTGGTCAACTCTACAGGGTTCAGCGGTTGCATAGTTCGCAGTGGCTGGCTTTCATTCAAGAGATGTAGGTGGCAAGATGTTGGCCTCTGAGGCTGAAAGATGGATGTAATCCACTGAGATAGACTCATAGTTGTCAAGGATGTCTCCTCTTCATCTGCTAGCCCTCTGTAACTCCCGATCTTCTCATGGCTCTCCTCTTAATCCACCAGCACGCCTCTCTTAGGGCTGCACACCGTGCTTTGTGTCTACCATCTGTTAAAATCTTGCATCATCGCAACTGTAGAAGTGTCAGCAGTGTTGTTGCGTGTGCTCTCTTATCTCAGCAGTTCATATCTAAACCAATTAATCATCAACGAGGACATTGAGTTGGATCTAAATTTTAAACTGAGGTGAAATGTCAAGCAAGGGGGGAAGCAGAACAACATTCCACATGGAAGAAAAATATATTTGAAATATATTTTAGAAATATTCTTCCCAAATATATTGCCATATATTTGAAATGCTACAATTTTGGCCATATTCAATAAAAAAAAAAAGAAAAAAAAATTATATATATATATAGCATGTTGAAATGCATTTTTATTACAATATATGACAAATATTTTTAATAATACATCTCAAATATACTGTATGTCTTTAAAAATACAAATCTACATTTTTGGAATTCATTTACAAGTATATGTAAAAATATATGTTAAAAAAATATGAAGAATACATTTAAAAAATATATACTTTTAAAAATATTTTTCATATATTTTGTAATATATAAAAAACACATTTCAACACAACATGCAGTATATGTGTATATATATACATATATATATATATATATATATATATATATATATATATACATACATACATATATATACAGTGGGGATCGAAAGTTTGGGCACCCCAGCTAAAAATTTGTATTAATGTGCATAAAGAAGCCAAGGAAAGATGGAAAAATCTCCAAAAGGCATCAAATTACAGATTAGACATTCTTATAATATGTCAACAAAAGTTAGATTTTATTTCCATCATTTACACTTTCAAAATAACAGAAAACAAAAAAATGGCGTCTGCAAAAGTTTGGGCACCCTGCAGAGTTAACATCTTGTACTGCCCCCTTTGGCAAGTATCACAGCTTGTAAACGCTTTTTGTAGCCAGCCAAGAGTCTTTCAATTCTTGTTTGAGGTATCTTTGCCCATTCTTCCTTACAAAAGTCTTCCAGTTCTTTGAGATTTCTGGGCTGTCTGTCACGCACTGCTCTTTTAAGGTCTATCCATAGATTTTCAATTATGTTGAGGTCAGGAGATTGTGAAGGCCATGGAAAAACCTTCAGTTTACGCCTCTTGATGTAATCCCCCGTGGATTTCGAGGTGTGTTTAGGATCATTATCCATTTGTAGAAGCCATCCTCTCTTTAACTTCAGCTTTTTCACAGATGGCATCAAGTTACCATCCAAAATTTTCTGAAATTTTATTGAATCCATTTTTCCTTCTACTCGTGAGATGTTCCCTGTGCCACTGGCTGCAACACAACCCCAAAGCATGATTGATCCAACCCCATGCTTAACAGTTGGACAGAGGTGCTTTTCATTAAATTCTGTGCCCCTTCTTCTCCAAACGTACCTTTGCTCATTGCGGCCAAAAAGTTCAATTTTAACCTCATCGGTCCACAGAACTTGTTTCCAAAATGCATCAGGCTTGTTTATATGTTCATTTGCAAAGTTCAAACGATGATTTTTTGTGGTGCGGACGTAGAAGAGGTTTTCTTCTGATGATTCTTCCATGAAGACCATATTTGTACAAGTATCTCTTTATAGTGGAATAGTGTACTACAACTCCAGTGTCTGCCAGATCTTTCTGGAGGGATCGTGCAGTCAAACGTGGGTTTTGAATTGTTTTTCTCACAATCCTGCGAGCTGTTCTGTCTGATATTTTTCTTGGTCTTCCAGATCTTGCTTTAACTTCCACTTTTCCTGATGACTGCCATTTCTTAATTACATTCTGAACAGAGGATATTGACATCTGAAAACGCTTTGCTATCTTCTTATAGCCTTCTCCAGCTTTGTGAGCGTCAACTATTTTCAGTTTCAGTTTTCTAGACAACTGCTTAGAAGAACCCATGGTGCTGATTGTTGGAGCAAGGTCAGATGAGTCTGGGCATTTAAAACCTTGGAGATTGACATCACCTGGTCTTCCCAGACGATGATTGAGAACAATCCATGTCACTGGCAGGTCTCAGCTTTGCAAAGGGGGCAGTGCATGCTATAAATTCTGCAGGGTGCCCAAACTTTTGCAGACGCCATTTTTTTGTTTTCTGTTATTTTGAAAATGTAAATGATGGAAATAAAATCTAACTTTTGTTGACATATTATAAGAATGTCTAATCTGTAATTTGATGCATTTTGGAGATTTTTCCATCTTTCCTTGGCTTCTTTATGCACATTAATACAAATTTTTAGCTGGGGTGCCCAAACTTTCCATCCCCACTGTATATATACATACATATATATATATATATACATACATACATGCACACACATGCATTCCAAAAATGTAGATTTGTATTTGTAAAGACATACAGTATATTTGAAAAGTATTTTTAAAAATATTTTTTACATATTTTGTAATAAAAACGTGGCCATGGCAGGGGAGCAACTATAGGGGTCGCAGGGGTCACAATTGTGACCTGGCCCCATGCTCCAGGAGGCTCATGCAGCTTCCCTGTACACCTGGATAGGAGGCGCAGTGGGGGCGACATATAGAGGAACCAATCCAATCAATTTTTCTCCTGCTGCCACTGAAAGCCTGCTTCTCCTCCTCTCCGGCTGCAGGATGAAAATGGAGTGGATAATTTCCTCTATATGCTGCTCCTCCTATCCAGGTTACTTGTTTCTTGCTGCCCCCCCCCCCCCCGGGCCCCTGTGTGCTCCCTGGTTCCCCCTCCCCCCCTCCCACCAGCTGCTGTAGGGGATATGTCAGGATGGAGAGCGGGGAAGGAGCTGGTAAATATGTCATTTATCAGCCCCTTTCTTTTTTGAATGGACAAAGTCATTGATGGGTACCGATCACTGACTCTGTCCATTCTGAACTCAAGCATAGTAAATTGTTTACTATGCTTCAGTTTGTGAATGAATGGGAAGTTCTGTACAGAGCTACTGTATTCCTGTCCATTCATTCTCTTCAGCTAAGGCTGCAGAGATGAGAATGAGGTCTGTTTAAGCCCCTTATATCCCACCAAGCTCCCCAACGGGGCTTCTAAAAGATTGTTAAAAAAACACAATTGGAAAAAAAATTAAATAAAATGCTAAAAAATATTAATAAATAAAAATAGAAAACAACTGACACCAGTGGCAGAACTACCAGGTCACACTTGCGACTGGGCCCTGGCATTTCACCACCATGGGGGGCCCCATGATGGATAGCAGGGGGCCAGCTGCAGAACATGTGAAAGGGAGCAAAATAAAGGGTTCAGCGAAGGGAGCTAAGGGCTCTGGGCCCTGAAACAAGGGCCCTGGACTCGGAGGGGGAGCCAGGGGTCAGGCGGTCCCTTCATGGTTTCCTGTATCAGGCCCCAAAGGTTCTACCTACACCTCTGAACCATTGTAACCGGAAGAGAGAGCTTGGGTCATTTCTTCTGACATGTTGCCTACTGCAGGGGCAGGTAGGTGAGCCGGTAGATGAAAAACTGGAAGGCACAGTGAAGATGAGATGTAATAGGCCAGACTGCTGAAGTGTTTGTGGAATGGACTGTCCTGATCCCATCCATCAGGATAGTGGAAGGAAGGCATCTGGAAATGTTGTATCTGAAAAAGCCTTTATTGACGGAGGGTGAGGTCCTTCTTGATAAGCTGCACTCTGCTAGGAGCCGGATAGTCTTCATAGTCTTGGCTCTGTGGAATGTGACCATTGTCTGAAGAACCACCCAAACTGTCCACCAATGGCTCAGCAAATACAGACTCAACAGCAAGAATGGTTTCCCAGAGAACAGAGTCTCCTGCCATTTCACTGCTCATCAAGACAAAAATCCGGATATGGGGGGAGCACTGATCACCCAACCAATTTCTCACTCCACACCCATACACAGCTGACTTGCTCTTCGTCATAGTACTTCATCGACGACTTGTGGCTGATTATAGCACAACAGCCAGCCTGGCCATGGTACAATAACTTCGTGTTACTAAACCCCGGACACTGCATTCACTATATCCACTCTCCCCGGACCCTGCATTCACTATATCCGCTCTCCCCGGACCCTGCATTCACTATATCCACTCTCCCCGGACCCTGCATTCACTATATCCGCTCTCCCCGGACCCTGCATTCACTATATCCACTCTCCCCGGACCCTGCATTCACTATATCCGCTCTCCCCGGACCCTGCATTCACTATATCCGCTCTCCCGGACCCTGCATTCACTATATCTGGTCTCCCCGGACACTGCATTCACTATATCCGCTCTCCCCGGACCCCGCATTCACTATATCCGGTTTCCCCGGACCCTGCATTCACTATATCTGGTCTCCCCGGACCCTGCATTCACTATATCTGGTCTCCCCGGACACTGCATTCACTATATCCGCTCTCCCCGGACCCTGCATTCACTATATCTGGTCTCCCCGGACCCTGCATTCACTATATCCGCTCTCCCCGGACCCTGCATTCACTATATCTGGTCTCCCCGGACCCTGCATTCACTATATCTGGTCTCCCCGGACACTGCATTCACTATATCCGCTCTCCCCGGACCCCGCATTCACACTATATCCGGTTTCCCCGGACCCTGCATTCACTATATCTGGTCTCCCCGGACCCTGCATTCACTATATCTGGTCTCCCCGGACACTGCATTCACTATATCCGCTCTCCCGGACCCTGCATTCACTATATCTGGTCTCCCCGGACCCTGCATTCACTATATCCGCTCTCCCCGGACCCTGCATTCACTATATCTGGTCTCCCCGGACCCTGCATTCACTATATCTGGTCTCCCCGGACCCTGCATTCACTATATTCGCTCTCCCCGGACCCTGCATTCACTATATCCGCTCTCCCCGGACCCTGCATTCACTATATCTGGTCTCCCGGGACCCTGCATTCACTATATCCGCTCTCCCCGGACCCTGCATTCACTATATCCGCTCTCTCCCGGACCCTGCATTCACTATATCCAGTCTCCCCAGACCCGCATTCACTATATCCGCTCTCCCCGGACCCAGCATTCACTATATCTGCTCTCCCCGTCCCCGGTCCCCGCATTCACTATATCCAGTCTTCCTGGACCCTGCATTCACTATATTCAATCTCCCCGGACCCCGCATTCACTATATCTGGTCTCCCGGACCCTGCATTTACTATATCTGGTCTCCCGGACCCAGCATTCACTATATCCGCTCTCCCCGGACCCAGCATTCATTATATGCTGCTCTCCCCGGTCCCCGCATTCACTATATCCAGTCTTCCTGGACCCCGCATTCACTATATTCAATCTCCCCGGACCCTGCATTCACTATATCTGGTCTCCCCGGACCCTGCATTTACTATATCCGGTCTCCCCGGACCCCGCATTTACTATATCTGCTCTCCACAGACCCTGCATTCACTATATCCGCTCTCCCCGGACCCTGCATTCACTATATCTGCTCTCCCAGGACCCTGCATTCACTGTATTCAGTCTCCCTGGACCCTGCATTCACTATATCCGGTCCCCGGACCCCGCATTCACTATATCCGCTCTCCCCGGACCCCGCATTCACTATATCCGCTATCCCAGGACCCTGCATTCCCTATATCCGGTCTCCCGGACCCTGCATTCACTATATCTGGTCTCCCCGGACCCGCATTCACTATATCTGCTCTCCCCGGACCCTGCATTCACTATATCTGGTGTCCCCGGACCCTGCATACAGTATATCCGCTCTCCCCGGGACCCTGCATTCACTATATCCGCTCTCCCCGGACTCTGAATTCACTATATCTGGTCTCCCACAGTACACACAACATGGAAATGCAATTATTTTAGTAAATATAAACTGCTTAATACCTTTTCTCATCAGCAGTATATAGCAGTCTTGTGACTTCTACCACTGTCCGTCAGAGCAAAGCTTGTAGGAGGAGTTATTCTGCTCTAGGATAATGCAGAACCCCTGACCTCTGTCTGGACAGTTCTGATTGGTCCTGTGCTGATCATATGCACTCTCCCAAGAAAAACAAACAAACAAAAAACCTCTCTAGCAATACACACTAAACTGAGCATGCGCAGAGTGACTCCACACGATATGTCTTATCAGGAGATAAGAGGGGGACACTGGAAGAAGGGGAGGATCAGAGAAGACAGGATCAAACAGCCTTTTTACACAATGCAGATGATTAACCCCTTAGGTTCCACAGTGAGTATAACAACTATGGCCAAAGTTAAAAAAGGACTAGATAATATAAAAAGAGCTTTTATTAAATATAAAAATGAAGGAACACTATCATCGTTTAATAATTACAAAGAATATAACAGAATATACAAAAATTGAAAACGAACGACAAATTGCAAAAGATAGCAGGACCAATCCCAAAAAGTTCTTCAAATATATGAATAGTAAAAAGGCCCAGTCCGAGCATGTAGGCCCTTTACAGAATCATCTAGAGTGGGTGACTGGGGACAAAGAGAAGGTGGTGGACGCGGTATACTTAGACAGAAGGGTGGTGGTGGACGTGGTATACTTGGACAGAGAGGTGGCGGTGGACGTGGTATACTTGGACAGAGGGATGGCGGTGGACGTGGTATACTTGGACAGAGGGGTGGTGGTGGACGTGGTATACTTGGACAGAGGGGTGGTGGTGGATGTGGTATACTTGGACAGAGGGGTGGTGGTGGATGTGGTATACTTGGACAGAGAGGTGGTGGTGGACGTGGTATACTTGGACAGAGGGGTGGTGGTATACTTGGACAGAGGGGTGGTGGTATACTTGGACAGAGGGGTGGGGTGGTGGACGTGGTATACTTGGACAGAGGGGTGGCGGTGTGGACGTGGTATACTTGGACAGAGGGGTGGCGGTGGACGTGGTATACTTGGACAGAGGGGTGGCAGTGGATTTGGAAAAGTGTTTGACAGTTCCCTGCACACGGCTAATGTGTAAGGTAAAGTCTACAGGCTTGGAAAAATTTGTATGTAAATGGATAGAAAACTGGCTAAAAGATTGTGTTCAGAGAGTAGTGGTCAATGATTCATACTCTGAATGGTCTAGGGGTGTCAGTGGTGTACCCCAAGGTTCAGTGTTGGGACCCTTACTGTTTAATAAATTTATAAACGATATCGGGTCTGGGATTATAAATCCCATTTCAGTCTTTGGAGATGGCAACCAGACTCACCATGTATAATACATAAGGGGGGGGGATATGATCTCCATGTATAATACATAAGGGGGGATATGATCTCCATGTATAATACATAAGGGGGGATATGATCTCCATGTATAATACATAAGGGGGATATGATCTCCATGTATAATACATAAGGGGGGATATGATCTCCATGTATAATACATAAGGGGGGGATATGATCTCCATGTATAATACATAAGGGGGGATATGATCTCCATGTATAATACATAAGGGGGATATGATCTCCATGTATAATACATAAGGGGGATATGATCTCCATGTATAAATACATAAGGGGAGATATGATCTCCATGTATAATACATAAGGGGGATATGATCTCCATGTATAATACATAAGGGGGGATATGATCTCCATGTATAATACATAAGGGGGATATGATCTCCATGTATAATACATAAGGGGGGATATGATCTCCATGTATAATACATAAGGGGGGATATGATCTCCATGTATAATACATAAGGGGGATATGATCTCCATGTATAATACATAAGGGGTGGATATGATCTCCCATGTATAATACATAAGGGGGATATGATCTCCATGTATAATACATAAGGGGGGATATGATCTCCATGTATAATACATAAGGGGGATATGATCTCCATGTATAATACATAAGGGGGGATATGATCTCCATGTATAATACATAAGGGGGGATATGATCTCCATGTATAATACATAAGGGGGGATATGATCTCCATGTATAATACATAAGGGGGGATATGATCTCCATGTATAATACATAAGGGGGATATGATCTCCATGTATAATACATAAGGGGGATATGATCTCCATGTATAAATACATAAGGGGGGATATGATCTCCATGTATAATACATAAGGGGGGGATATGATCACCATGTATAATACATAAGGGGGATATGATGATCTCCATGTATAATACATAAGGGGGGATATGATCTCCATGTATAATACATAAGGGGGGGATATGATCTCCATGTATAATACATAAGGGGGGATATGATCTCCATGTATAATACATAAGGGGGGGATATGATCTCCATGTATAATACATAAGGGGGGGATATGATCTCCATGTATAATACATAAGGGGGATATGATCTCCATGTATAATACATAAGGAGGGATATGATCTCCATGTATAATACATAAGGGGGATATGATCTCCATGTATAATACATAAGGGGGGATATGATCTCCATGTATATAATACATAAGGGGGGATATGATCTCCATGTATAATACATAAGGGGGGATATGATCTCCATGTATAATACATAAGGGGTGTATATGATCTCCATGTATATAATACATAAGGGGGGATATGATCTCCATGTATAATACATAAGGGGGATATGATCACCATGTATAATACATAAGGGGGGGATATGATCTCCATGTATAATACATAAGGGGGATATGATCTCCATGTATAATACATAAGGGGGGATATGATCTCCATGTATAATACATAAGGGGGATATGATCTCCATGTATAAATACATAAGGGGGGATATGATCTCCATGTATAATACATAAGGGGGGATATGATCTCCATGTATAATACATAAGGGGGGGATATGATCTCCATGTATAATACATAAGGGGGGATATGATCTCCATGTATAATACATAAGGGGGATATGATCTCCATGTATAATACATAAGGGGGATATATCACCATGTATAGTAATACATAAGGGGGGATATGATCTCCATGTATAATACATAAGGGGGGATATGATCTCCATGTATAATACATAAGGGGGGGGATATGATCACCATGTATAATACATAAGGGGGGATATGATCTCCATGTATAATACATAAGGGGGATATGATCTCCATGTATAATACATAAGGGGGGATATGATCTCCATGTATAATACATAAGGGGGGATATGATCTCCATGTATAATACATAAGGGGGGATATGATCTCCATGTATAATACATAAGGGGGGATATGATCTCCATGTATAATACATAAGGGGGATATGATCTCCATGTATAATACATAAGGGGGGATATGATCTCCATGTATAATACATAAGGGGGGATATGATCTCCATGTATAATACATAAGGGGGGGGGAAATGATCTCCATGTAATAATACATAAGGGGGATATGATCTCCATGTATAATACATAAGGGGGGATATGATCTCCATGTATAATACATAAGGGGGATATGATCTCTCCATGTATAATACATAAGGGGGATATGATCTCCATGTATAATACATAAGGGGGATATGATCTCCATGTATAATACATAAGGGGTAATATGATCTCCATGTATAATACATAAGGGGGATATGATCTCCATGTATAATACATAAGGGGGATATGATCTCCATGTATAATACATAAGGGGGATATGATCTCCATGTATAATACATTAATGGGGGATTATGATCTTCATGTATAATACATAAGGGGGGATATGATCTCCATGTATAATACATAAGGGGGGATATGATCTCCATGTATAATACATAAGGGGGGATATGATCTCCATGTTTAATACATAAGGGGGGATATGATTCTCCATGTATAAATACATCAGTGGTTCATATAGTGAACTCGGCGTAGAGTTATTCACATTGAGGTCATCACAAGGGGACGCTCTTTACGTCTGGAGGAAAATAAGGTTTCTTCACAATAAGAGCTGTGAGAATGTAGAATAGACTCCCTCAAGAGTTGGTTGTGACCAGCTCAGTGGATTGCTGTAGGAAAGTCCTGGATTCTTTCTTGGATACACAGAATATAAACTGGATATAACATTTATAGGTAAAGTTGA